TAAAAATTGTTCGTTTTTTCTGCAACAGCAGGAAGATTCTAAAGAATTATTAATGCAATAGATCGTTATATCAGTTTAAAATCGATGAATGTAATGAAACAAACGACAATAGATGAGTTTTTAATCAGCAGTAATAGTCAATAAATTTTGTTATAGTCATGTGCAACCAATAAAATGCTGACCTTTATTCATGCATCCCTCAAGAACGCTCTGACGCATTCCCGAGGGCGTGCTTGAATGGAGGGATGGTCTGTAAAAACTGCATCGAAGATCGACATAAATTTACTCCCAAACGGGTATTTGAGTGGGTTAGACTAGAAAACTAAGCAAAGATCGACAAATAGTGGGATTCGGAAGGCGAGTTGGTTCTTTATAGAAGGTTAAATACGAGATTTACATGGTTACGGGATTTACATACGACAAATACACTCCCACAAGTTAAACATAATAACACAATGAATTACGATAAATGAGTACTTTTGTTGAATGGAGAACGTAGAATATGTCCGTTCATGCAATGCAATAACAATAAAAGCGTTTGTATAACCATAATAACATATGTCGTGTAATCTGCAAAGCTCCCAATTATTGGTCCAACGTACATACGTTACGTATGCTTAACGTAAGCAGTCTCTTGTAGTTAACTTAATGTCGCAACAACCATTTCAAAACTGGCATAACCAGCTACGGAACTATCAACAACAAGAGGAATTGACGCAGCAGCAGCAGCAGCAGCAGCAACAACAACAACAACAACAACAACAAAACGAACAACAACAACGACTGTATGGCTACAATTTGATATATCCTGCCTCACCCTCAGCTTATCAATTACCAACGCAGCAGCAGGAATCCATCGATGGCTCGATGTCGACATATTCGAGTTCGCAATTGACAGACGAACCGTCGCCGTATATAGACGAATCTAATCAGGCTTTGCATGAACAACTAGTTACAGGTTCTAGTCAGCAACAAAACGACACTCGGTCTACTCGGCAAAAACTGCTTATGCATCGGCAACAACGGCGGGAATTGTCGCAGCCGTATTCGAGGCAACGTGAAGTAGAAACACCGTCGTCGGACGAACTGATTTCGCCGATGCAATCTGTACATCAATTGGACCGGCAAAACTCTGTTCAGGATATGTTTGGGGTTGTTCCGATCGAGCGATCGGAGAATGTCCAATCACATGTTAGTATATTCGGTTTACTGCAGCAGTTAGGTAATCGTACTAACACTAAATTTACACAATCACATACTATCATACCATTACAGGTCTACCCACAAACGAGTAATCCAAGTATGCCTGAAATGCAAGAAAGCATTCACCAAACTTCTCAACCCCAAAACAACTTTAACCAATTAGACCCAGATCGACGTTCCCAGTTAGAAACAGATGAGCATTCTTTGCCATCTCAAGTACTTAGTCGGCAAGAAGAGCCTAAAAATGTTTATAATAAGGAGTGGATTGAAAATCGTATTCAAGAAGGTTTTCTCTGCTCTTATTCAAAAAACGACATTGTTATGAAGTGTATACCGATTGCTGGCGGTACTTATGGATCAATACATAAGGGAACGATTAAACACAATAACGATAACTTGACAATTGCCATAAAAACGTTGTATCCGGATGCTTGTGGTGGTGAGGAAAAATTTTACAAAAAGCTTGTCAAAGAGGTTGATTGCCAATTTTTTGTTTGATATGGTGTGTGCTGTATTCTTTATAATTGCCAATTTAATTAATCATTGCATACCCATCAGCTGAAAAACAATAAGAAATTATGTGGTCACCCGAATATTAACCAATTATTGGGAGTTTGTAAGTATAGAATTCAATTGTTATTGTTGTGAGTTGACAATGTATTATTTACACAAATTAAAATATTTTTTTTTCCAACTTAAAGTTGAAGATGATGGTTATCATATGGTTTTTGAGTTTGCTGATGGCGGAGACTTGCGTAAATACTTGGCAAAACATTTTCATAGTTTAACCTGGGAAGACAAGTATAAGCTCAGTCTGGAAATTACTAATGGTTTGGGACACATGCATGAACTTGGTATTGTCCACAAGGACTTGGTAATATATGATTATTATTATACTTTATTTGTTCAGGTACATAGCATAATGGTGATAAACTAATGACCATTATCTTTTATCATTTACAGTCTTCTGCCAACATTCTTATTAAATCTGGCATTGCAAAAGTTGCTGATTTAGGTTTATCAGGAGGGACTATGTCCTCATCAACTGGTGGAGGCACTGCTGCATACAAAGATCCCTTATTATTATTTAAAGATCATCAAAAAAATTGAAAGTCTGATATCTTCAGTCTTGGAGTACTGTTGTGGGAAATTTCCAGTGGGCAAATTCCTTGTAAAAAGACTGTAGCAGAATATAGAGACAAAGACTATTGAGATCCTCCTTTTCCAGAAACACCAGAAAAATATGTTCAGCTATATTCAGCATGTTGGAATGAGAATCCTGATGAACGACCACAATGTAAAGATGTATATCAACAGCTAAAATTCTTGTTTGATAGTAGTAGTAGAAATCAGTACTCACCACATAGAATGCAGGATCTTTCTTGGAAGCTGATTGGTGCAGATGCAGCTACAGTGAAAGAAGTTTTAGACTCAAACCCTTCTGTTATTTCTTTGATACTTTCTTACAATAATATTAGAGATGCAGAAGCAACAGTATTGGCAGAGGTTCTAGAATCAAATTTATCTCTGATTTTTTTGAATCTTCAATCTAATCAGATTGGAGTTGTGGGAGCAACAGCATTAGCAAAGGTGCTTGAATCAAATCCTTCTCTGACTTCTTTGAATCTTGCTTCTAACTTTATTGGATATGCAGGAGTAACAGCATTGGCAAGGGCTCTAGAATCAAATTCTTCTCTAACTACTTTGAATCTTGATTATAATCAAATTGGAGATGCAGGTGCAATAGCATTGGCAAAGGCTATAGGATCAAATTCTTCCCTAACTACTCTGAATCTTGATTGCAATCAGATTGGAGATGTAGGAGCAACAGCATTGGCAAAGGCTATAGAATCCAATACTAGTACTTCCCTGACTTCTCTAGACCTTTTTGCTAATAATATTGGAGATGTGGGAGCAGCAGCATTGGCAGAGGCTTTAAACTCAAACTCTTCCCTAACTTCTTTAAAACTGCATTATAATAAGATCAGAGATGCAGGAGTAAGGGCATTGGCAAAGGCTTTAGAATCAAATTCTTCCCTGGCCTTTTTGGAACTTTCTGAAAATAAGTTTGGATGTGTAGGAGTAGCAGCATTGGCAAAGGCCTTAAATTCAAATTCTTCTCTAACTTCTTTGAAATTGTACAAAAATCAGATTAAAGATGCAGGAGCAGTGGAATTGGCAGAGGCTCTTAAATCAAATTCTTCTCTGACTTTTTTGGGACTTTCAGCTAATGAGATTGAAGAAGAAGGAGCAATAGCCTTGGCAAAAGCTATAGAATTAAATTCTTCTTTGACTTTTTTTGAACTTTCTAACAATAAAATTGGAGATAGAGGTGCAATGGCATTAGCAAAAGCTCTGGAATCAAATTCAACTCTGGCTTCTTTGAATCTTTTGTCTAATAAGATTGGAGATTCAGGAGCAACAGCATTAGTGAAGACTTTAGAGTCAAATTCTTCCTTGACTTGTTTGAAACTTTCTGAGAATAAAATCGGAGATAAAGGAACAGCTACTTTGGCAATGGCAGAAAAGCATTGCTCCAAAATTAAAATTTATTACAATTAAGTCACTAGTACTAGCTTTTCAGAGTCAATTGATTTTTTCAATTTATAGCTGAAGGCATTTTTACAGTCAGTGGTGAGAGAACAGAGTCACACTTTTTAATAATAGTTAGTATTTAGTATCTGCTTATAATCATGAAATCTTTGTTGGCCAAACTATTTACATGAATTCTTTATAAGCTGCATATTTATAGCCAGAGATAATTAATAACCACTCAGTATATACTATAGTCACATTTACCTTACATTAACATAATTATCATTCTTTGAACTATGGGTGTGTTGGGTGGGCTGACTGATTTATCAGTCAGCAGTGAGATATTTGTAGTAGGTTTTATATGGAAATTATTTGGTGCTGATGTCATTATTATTATTAGCTGTTTATAGAATTGTTGGTTATTTTATTTATTTGTACCTGTACAATTGAGATTGAGCCAGAATTGAGGTAGCAATAAAGAATGTTCAACATAAGAATTGTTTGTTTTGAGTATAGTTATAAACATAATATTATTTTGTCTCCCTCTCTGGTCATTTTCCAACAGTTTGTTGGTATTTATTGTATGTTATTTCTTTTTTTTTTATCCTATTTAATGGTTTGTTACGGTCGGCAATTGTTTGGTTGGGAGAGCCAATTAAATCTTCAGCGTAGACGTGTTTCCCGACCAGAGAGTCGGTAATTTTAGACTCAGCGGTTCACTGCCCTTACTCCAGTGATGTCGTTCTGACTGAATGCTTCGTCTACAAGTGACCTAATTTCATTAATTTTCGTGCGCTTTTCTCACTCCCTATACGATGTACTTCCTGTACTCGTATCCGGATAAGGGTAACTGTATTAGTATGTAAAGTATCAACAACTATAATTACGACGGAATCGAAAGGAAATAAATTGTTTCTATTTTTAAACAGGGCAGGTCTCCGATCCGGTGTATTGACCAGTCAGTTTATCCGTCACTTGTTTTCTAAACTAATTAAACAATTAAAATCTCTCAGCGGACAGTTTCGCAAGCCTGAATGGGCTCTGACTACTTGACCTTTCGCCTAAGGGCTATGTAGGTATTGTCCGGATTAATTGGTTTAAAAATTCAAGCGAAGACAACGATAGGAAGAAATAAAATATATAGGATTCAAAATTTAAAGGGGAACAAATATTTATTTCCGTGGATTAGATCAATCCGTGGATTATCAAGAACAATCAAACAACGTACAACATACACAACATGAACGATGGAATAGAGTCGCTTATATATCTTTTCTATCGCCGCTGTCGTCACTGTCACTAATTTTTGAAACCCTAATTTTTTTTCCTAATTAGCCTTTTGTACTGTCTGATCCCGCCGCCAATTTTTGAAACATCAAAATTATTTCCTAATTAGCGAATCTAGTGTGACTATTCTACTACCAATTCACTGGGGCACAGCCCGGTTACCACGAGTTTTTTATTATATTAAAATGACGTCATTTATTTCCGATGATAGGGGTAATATAAAAATGCATTTTGCAATGACATTCTCACATTTTGATCGCGCGTCCGGTTGGCACTCACACTCGGTATGCTGCCCCCCATGTAATTTATGTCCTTGTTCTTTCGCCGGAGTGGACGCTCTTCGTCTGGGCCCTATAACTCTTGCCGAGCCTAGGAAACAACTATCCAGAGAAACAAAAGGTGATGATGGCAGGGTTATAGTTTGATGGACGGACCACGGTTCCAGTGTGGTCTGCCATGGCGGCACACTGGGATTTCCTCTGTAATGGGGGTGACGGCGTTTCTGCGGCTGGATGACCCTAACCCTAACCAACTATCCTGCGCCGGCGGTTTTTTCTCGCTAGGAGTTTCTTTCTTCTAGCTGGTGCGATGAGGTTGTGGTTGAGACAGCGAGGCTAGCACAAAGGATGTAGAGGCTCTGTAGCGATGCGCCAGAGTAATTCGCATATGACTCTTGATGTTAGATGTACAACTTGTCTGTTCTCGGGGTTTGCTGGCGAGTGTTTGTGCTGATAAAGTAGTAATTTCGGTACGATGCTGTGATGAACGGAAGCCATTCTACTGATTTCAGATGTAGAAGAAAAGAAGCTTCTACCTGAGCTCGTATCACGAAAATTCTCACTTTTAGGACCGTTACTGATCTGACATTGCAGCATTGCAACTAATAATTACTACGATCTAACCGGTTATCACCTGTAAATATGCCCTATAATATGTGTATCTTCCGTTAATTACTATTGTTATTCGATCACCTATCATTATTAAATAGTGGAATGTACATATATGAACATTGGATACTTTGTTGTTATGTTATTAACGACGAGAATTGATATTTCGCGCGTTCGAAGGATCAAGCCAGCCGTTCATGCATATTCAAATCGTACTTAATATTCCGTGTCAATTTTTTGCACACACATTGTCAATAGTTACCTTTAACAAACATGTAAATTATATGAGCATTGGATTCTTTGTTGCTATGTTATTAATGATTAACGACGAAAATTGATTTCGCGCGTTCGAAAAATCGAGCGAACCGTTATAGTGCGCATTATATCTCATATATACGATTACATCCCAATTTCTCAATACACTATCATAATATGAAGGTAATAAATGAAAAAGGTTAGTCAGACACATTTCTTCATGACTATAATGCAACTTGTTCTCGCAAGGACATGTAATGCAACCGTTATATATTACTGACAGCCAAGACAGTTGGTACTCGCAAACTTTATTCAAAACATATAAGTGTCTTTAACAGAATATAGTCTCAGATTTCGCATTACGCTCTCGCTTTACCTATATACGTATATATACATTTCCGTTGTTGATGCTTTTCACCCATCGACGTATGTGAAATTATTACCATTTATCGGGGAGAGCCGCCGCACATTATATTTGATTTTGGGGGAGAGCCGCCGCACATTATTCGAGTTTGGGGGAGAGCCGCCGCCGCACATTGTTCGAGTTGGGGGAGAGCCGCCGCCGCACTTCATTCGCGGGGGAAGAGTCGTACTTGTCTGAACTACATTAAACTTGTTCTTCCGTCCTTCTTGCCAACTTCTACAACTGGTGATGCGAATGGTAACGCTCTTGAGTTTGGGTCAGCATCAATGTTGAGCCTTTCTGTTATTCCTGCCTTCAACATTAAAATCCTCATTCTCTGATTGATGTCTAATAATGTCCGTAACGGTACTCCATGACCAACATATGGCATCGTAGATATCAACAACTTCTTAAATTCCTTGCTAAGTCATATGCTTTGACTTGATGCTTACGAGTCTTTGTGGTATTAATTCAGGGCATTTTCAGTGTTTTGAAAGAGATGGGATGTGGAAAAGTGTGGAAAAAACGAGTAATGAGAAGTTTTGTGTGATTGCTTTTTGTATCATTATTTGCTCCAGTGTTACTAATTGCTTCTTGCCCCAAATGTCCTGCTTCATGGACTCAGATGATTTCTTCTGTTTCTGATTCTCTCTTCCAGCGCTTGTTGTGCCACTTTCGTTTCTGAGGAAGTGATATCCTGGTTCATTTCTGGCCCTCATTGCTTCAAGTAGGGCTGGGTCCATGTTGTCCTCTTACTGTTCTAAAAGTTCGAAAGTTGCGTCTCTATCTCGGGAGAGAGCGGGTTGAGCGTAGACTATATCTGATGAGTAAACTGCAGAAAAATAGGATAAATGCGTCGTTCCAAATCCGCTGTCGATCCCGAATGTTGGTGACGCAGTAAATTCAACTACCCCAAGAAGCTCGGTACTTTTCTGCACTCATGTGACATTTTCGTTGACATCATTGCACTTTTGGCCAGTAAACGATAACATTACAAATCGTTTTTTTGC